ATGATGACAACACCAACAATAAGAAATATAAATCATCAGTAGTAATTCCATACAAGGAAGGAACCTTGGAAACCTTACGCAGAATTCTTAACAAGGCAGGAATAAAAGTGACAGGCACTGAAACCCACAAACTCGATTAGGAACAAGCTTTGTCGGTTAAAGGATCAATCATGTGGGGCCTTTAAAACATAACAATTTAGTTTATCTAATACTCTGCTGGAATGATTGTCAGGTCAAATACATAGGTCAAACTAGTAGAACAGAGGCAGTCAGACTAGTGGAGCATAAAATCCTAGCAAAATCTAGATTGGTTGACCCGAATAAGATAAGAAATCTAGAGAATAGTTCAGCTATAGCACTCACTACATGCAGTCACACACAACCACACAATAGGATGGGATAGGATGACAGTTTTAAAATCTAATGTCACAGTGTATGGGGAGAGATTGATAACAGAAGCTTTGTTTATCGAATCAACTACAAATACATGTAATAGGGATGATTCATCACCTGTCCCCGATATCTGGAAAATTCTACGACCCCAACGACGACAAATAGGAGAAGACAAAGAAAACTATAAAACTCAAGTTTCAAAGTCGTGTGATTATAATTGATATGATTATGAACAGCAATAAATTTTGTTCAAAACGTCATCCAGTAAATAATACTGTTTCACTCACTGTGTGATATATCTAATAAACAAACTAATCTGGAATTACTACCACAGTGCCCAAGTTTTACACATATAGTTCATCCTATATTAAAGCCTGTGCCAAACTGATGTTGTCTAAAAGAACAACGAAGGTTTTTTTCTTAATTAAGATAACCACTCAGCTCAGAGAACACAAGTAAATCACGAAAAAAGATTCCTGTTTTAATGAAAAATATCATTACGAAAGATAAGTTGATAGCAGACGCCAATGAAGATGGGTATGTGATTCGAAATGGCCAGAACTACATATGCACACAGACATGTGATCACAGAATACAAACTAGCAAATGACTTCTAGGCTTTCTCTAATATTGACGCCAATAACTAATAACTTATTATATACTTAGTAGATTAATGGGAAAAAAATGCAATGAAGGCTTTTTAAGTGCTGAATACCTTTAATGGAAAATCCCTCCCAAATGATCTAATCACAATATTGATACTTGTTTGAATGTTTCACCTAACTTTGTAATGATTAGCCATTTTAATCCTAGACTGTGTATCATCATATATGTATATATATATTACTATTATTCCCTTGAGTTCCGAGTGGAACTTGAGACTTCAACTACACGTCTCCACTTTTTCCTATCTTCTTCCGTCGTCTTCAGCTGGTTCCACCATTGCCTATAATATCTCATCTCCTCCAACCCTCACAATCTCCTCCATGTCACCCTAGCACTGAAGACCCACTCGTCGCTTCGCATTCAGACTCCACTGGTGAGCCTATCGTGCGATGTCATCCGACGGTGTCTTTTCACTGTGTGCCCGAATCTATCTCCTTTTTTATCCTAAATATTTGTTGAGTGATCGGCTGTTGCCTGTTGGTTTGTTCCCAACCAGAGTTTCTTTTTACTAATTCTTTATAGCCGGCCGTTTGATTTTCAGTATGGAGCCAGTGACGTAGGCGGCAGTTGAGAAAAGTCTGCAATAGGCTGTTGGAAATCATTTTCGTGATATGCCACTATTGTCAGTTTGACATTTGCATATCGTATGTTGTTCCAGCTCTTATTATTTGTCTTTGTTCCCTTTTAATCTCTCATTTTAATGCTTTTCGCATGTGATTATTCAATGCATTGATAATGTGTTATTTTAAGAGGCAGTTTTATTTTCGTGAATGTGGGTCACTTAAACTGTGAACTGTCTGAAGGATCTGTTGATATTTGATTCTCACTGACAGGGCTTTGTTCGCACCTTGTCGAGAATAGTCTACTTAATACTCAGACACTTCTCACGGTTGAATTTTGGTTAACTTATTTTGTTCTGCAGTACTTGTTTTGCACTAGAAAATTACCTAGTTTGTATAGCTATCTGCAGTCAGCTCTCTATTTCAAATTCATTGATTTTGAAAAGGCCTTCGACAAACAGCATCGATCAAGAGGTGATTTGCAAACTACTTCACTGCTATGTGGTGACACTAACAGTTGTAAACCTTATCCAACAGTTGTACGATAACGTCGCTTGCCAAATAATACACAAAGGGAAACTCACAGAATCTTTCGACGAAGTGTAGACAGCAGTACAACAAGGCTACCTACTATCTCCAATGATCTTCTTGATTGCTGGCGGTAGACTGAATAATGCAACAGACAGCAGGCAGGGAGGAAACAGGAATAAAATGGACCTAAACAAAAAACTTGAAGGATCTGGACTTAGCCGATGTGATATATATGTCTGATTTCCCACAAACTGGAAGATATGCAAGTGAAAAGCAACAAGTTGGCGATAGAAGAAGCATCAAAGACAGGCCTTCAGGTACACAGAGAAAATAGAGGTGATGAAGATTACTGGCCAACAGCAACAACAGCCACGACAAAAGACAACAATCAGCATAAATGGGAAAAACCTGAAAGAAGCGACTTCCTTCACGTACCGACCTGGGAAACATAGTTTCAACTACAGGTGGATGGAAACGATGAGAATATCAAAGCAGCGAAGATCGGTAGAGCGAGAAAAGCTTTCGTTGAGTCTGTGTAGAGGTCAACAGCACTCAGCATGAAAATGAAAATAAGATCCGGATTTTCAACTCGAATGTGAAGTCAGTGCTACTAAACATACGAATCAGAGACTTGACGCTTCGTGAAGTGCACTTTGAACAAACTATAGATCTTCGTCAACAGCTGTCTTCACTCAATACTACTCAAAATCAGATGGCCGGCCGGAAAAGATCAGCTACAGGGAGGGATCTCTGGGAGCAAACCAACCCAGCAGGAACCAAATGTGTAAAAAATATGCGGAAGAAAAGCAGGTGGATTGGTGACCATACTCTGAGAAAACAAACCGTCAAGTAACATCACACGCCAGACCATCGCTCGAGTGGAATCCGACAGAAAGGGAAGTGGACAGTTGGTCCTCAGTGCGAGGATGACATGGAGGAGGTTATGCGAAGGGGAAATGAAAGTATGTGGTAAGACGTGTAGTCAGGTGGAAACGTTGGCAGAGAACCGAAATCAATGTAGACTTGAAGCCGAAGCCCTATGTTCCTCTAGGAACTAAAGGAAACATTGATAAATAATAATAGCTGTCTGCCTAACATCATGGTTGAGATAAGTTTGAGGTTTTGAAATGCTACTATTATCGGATAGAACTGCATGTGGATTTAACCAAAAATAAACATCTTTTCACTCTCTTTAGAGATTTTAGTGACTGTACGCCTCTCAAGGAGGTTTTTGTCAGTGATACAGTAGGACGCAAAGATCGCTTTCCTAAGTTTAGACCACAATGAGTTTGTTTTGGTCATAACAACACCAACTTACATTTTCATGAAATGATACTGGAGAAGATAACTCATCATATGTTGTGGTAACTTTACTCTAAAGTATTCCAAAGTGAAACAGTGGAAGATCAGAGAAATGCTAGTGAAAATGCTACTGACACAACCGCTGAGGAGTGCATGTGTTTTGAACACTACCATGTGGTCAGCAAGCACTAATTTATGAAGTGACTGGTTCTCAACTACTCATTTCAGCCAATCAGTAGTATATACTAGTTCAAAATACCTAATCATTGTAAAGTAGAATTCAGTATCGTATCAAGGGCATAATGAGTGCACCATATAACTTTCAAATTGTGGTAGTATCTAGTCCCGTATTAGTTTATTTATAATATAGATTAAAACAGTGAAACATCAGTGGACTCCTTTGAAACGTCATCAGGCCAATACAAATTTCAAAGTAGGATTCATCTAATGAACAAAGTAATGTGGTGAGATAATTGAGGATAACGTAGTAATATTGAAGAATAGAGATACGCGGCAAAAGGAATAATAATATTGAAGAACAATATAGATTTATTGGGTATTACAAGTCACAAGGAGTGGATGAATTGTCAAGAGTCTCTAGATAGTGAACACTCCAATAGGTAGAGGCCAATGCTATTCACTTAAATCAAACAGACCTCTGTGCACAAAAGAGAGAGCTCGAGGGGAAGACTATTGCTACCTCGATCTGCTGGCAAACCTGTAAATTCCTAAATTCCATGTTACTTCCTTTAAATTAGCTGATGTTCGATCAGTTTAGTATTACATTAATGTATATTAACTCTCTCTCCTACTGATGCTACCTTTGAAATGTAGTCTGTTGACACCATTGAGTCAGTGTGATTTCACACACTGATGTTATGAATAAGAGTATTTCTCTATGTAATGTTGTCATATAATTGTAGGACCTAATGACCAATTTCTTGAAAAGAATATTCGTTGATGATATTAGATAGTTGGACGCAATCAGCAGGAAGCCTTGGACCTAGGTTTCGTGCAAGTTAGCACTCACCAGTCAGCAAGGCATATCTCCAACCTTGAAGGGACTCATGTCCCTTCTGGGATTCGAACCCGTATCATCCAGTCCTGCAGTCAGAGAGAATACTACCAAGCTATTCGGGCTCGCACTGGTTGATGCGAGTTTGGATCTCAGAAGGAAGGACATGAGTTCCTTCAAGGTTGAAGACACGCCTTGCTGACTGGTCAGTGCTAACTAGCACGAAACCTAGGTCCGAGGCTTCCTGCCAACTGCCTCCAGCTATTTAATATCATCAAATCATTGTGCACCGTGATGGCGAGCTACCTAGAATGGTGGCCACATTGCAAACGTGACTGATAGAATTCATTCTGCACCAAAGAAAAGACTAGACAAGTCACACTAGTTACTAGTGTTCAATCAAGAATATTCTTTGTTCATTCAGTAATCAGCCTATTTTATAGGTTCGGAAAATATTACACTTTTAATCCAATTTTGAAATCACGTAATGATCTTCCTCTTACTTCTCTTATCTATGATTTTGATCCCCTAAATTAACACTTTAAGCCATCTAAATAAAGTAAGAACAACAGTTTGCCTGTGTAGAATAAATTGATACCATCAGTGTTTAATTTCATTGGCTCCTCATCAGCTGCTTACAGCCTAAAGTTATTTATTATTACGTTTATATACAGAAACAATTTTAAAATACTTACCCAGAGAGTTTAAGTTTGAACATACAATCATACAGAATGGAGTTTTTATTGTTACGCAATCAAGTGAAAGAGAGAGAGATAGTGAAGGCATCCACTTATTAGAATAGGCAAGGAAAGATTGATAACTGCTTCTTCTTTCTGAAAACATAAATTTCAGTTTGGGCGTTTGATGGAGATTGATTTGGTAAACTTCAGTAGAATTGAGCTCTTTTGTCTATTGATAATTTTGGAGGATATTGTGACGTTCATCTCATGACCAGTATCAAGGAGGTGTTTGGCAGTGGCAATTTTTCCCTTCGAAAGCACAAATTTTGTTGCACGGTTAAAAATCTTGAGGTGAACCCTTCTTTCTGTTGTCCGAAAGTAACTGTTCCCGCAGATACGTGTAAACTTGTGCACAAAGTTGCAGTTAACATGAGAGGAGTCACATGTCGAATTTTCGTTGCAAAAAAGAGCATGTTATCCGATAAACGGCAACCAAACTACCTGCAGAACAGTCTCTGGTTACTGGCATTTTCAGTCTTTTGCTGACTATTCCTGTGACATTATCACCTTTAAAACCAAGTTGAATGAAGATAAGCTTTTTTTAGCACTCTGACTCGTTTAACTTTGAGCCTTTACATCTTCCGTATTTGTTCATAAATCTCTGAGGGTTCCCAGTATTTTCGAGCAAGATCCTTCAAAATTATCAATATAAGTAAAAAGAGCTCAATTCCTCTGAAGTTAGCCAAAGCAACCTCCATCAAAGTCATCGATGTATTCAGAAGGAAGCAGTTATCATCAATCTTTCCTTGCCCATCCTGGTGACTGGATGTCTCTTTTATCTCGATCTCTCTCTTTCATTTGATTACGTAACGCGGAAAATTCAATTCTGTCTGACTGCTGTTATTGTTTAGAATAAAACGATCATTATTATTAATACTTTTGTATGTATACATGGACTATTTTTGTCTAAAATAGAACTCTCTGAGTACGTTAAAATTGTTTCTTTATATAAGTCGAATATCCACCGGCTGTAAGCAGGTGATGAGAAGACACCGAAATCTGCGATGATGGTAGCATTTTATTCTGCACATGCAAACTGTTGTTCTTGGTTTAGTCAAATTCCCTATTTTGATGCACAACCAGGTTATTTGAAAGGTCTTGTGTCAATAAGTAACTCCTGTCAGATAATAAATTACGTCTACTTAATGTTTTTTGATTTAAAATAATCTTTTTTTCTTAGAATGGAAGTACTTCATCGACTTGTTTAAAACTGATAAGTACTGATGAACACATCAGTTCATGTTTGAAGACTCCATTACAATGTTTATCTTTATTACGGCGTAAAAGGTCAAAGAAGCAATAGATAGTTTAGTGACGAACAAATTTAACTCCATTATGGATAAGATTTTATTTTGATAAATCACACAGTGTTGTACAGTTACATTAACTGATGACCAGGTTTCGAGCACAATTTATTACTGCTCATAATCATATCAAGTTACTCACACAACTTTTTTCTTTCATTTATATACATGTGTAAAAATTGATGATTAGACATTTGAATAAAATCAATATAAGGGCACTATTTTCCCAGTTGTCCATAAAATTGTCTGCTCTCAATACATTTAATCTTACTCCAAAAATATGGTGGAGATATGTGGATGACACATTGACAGTGTTAAAAACAGAACATATCTCTAGCTTCTTAACACATACAAACTCACAACTAGAAGGAATAAAAATCACATTTGAATCAGAAAATGAACAAGGAGAATTAAACATGTTCGATTGTAAGATAAAACAAATAGACGAAGGCAAACTACACACTAGTGTTTATAGAAAACCAACGCATTCTAATAGATATTTAGACTTAAATTCGTCTCATCCGTAAACTGTTAATGCAGGCTAAGTGAAGTGTCTAACAAACCAAGTCATAGCACTAAGTAGCATAAAAAAATACCTAAATGACGAAATAAAACAGATAGAAGAAGCGTTGGAAGATAACTAAAGACCAAAAGCAAAATAAAAATAATTGTGGAACTAGTAATGATAACATAAATAAGACAGAATATAAGTCATCTACTGTTATACCATATAAGGAGGGGACATCTGAGACCCTACGTAGGATTCTCAATAAAGCAGGAATTAAGGTGGCATTCAAACCTACAAACTCACTCAGAGACAAGCTTTGTAGGTTGAAAGACCCGGTGGACCCAATTAAACAAAATAATATAATTTACAAAATACCCTGCAATGACTGTGAGTTAAGTCAACTACATAGGTTAAACTAGTAGATCGGGGGTAATCAGATTGTCGCAACATAAGAATTTAAGTAAGGTAAGAATGGTTGATCCTGAAAAGATAAGTAATTTAGAAAAAAGCTCAGCTGTTGCACTTCACGCATTAACAAACAACCACACAATAGTGCTGATGGGAGAGGGTTAAGGTTCTAAGAGGTAATCTAGGTAGGTGGAGAGAGAGGTTATAAATGTCCAAAAAAAGTTATTATTATAATGGAGACAGAGGTTGATTACTGAATCCTGCCTGGTTCATCGAGTCTACACCCAACACATGCAACAGAAATGACTCAATGCAAATACCAGAGATATGTATGGAAGATATTATTACCGCCAGTCAGTCAAATCACAAGAGTATAATAAATAATCTTAAAATTATATTTCAATTCAAGCGCATCACAACATTCTAACAAGTTACTTATTATGACTTTAAAAACTCTCGTTTTATTTCTCATCTAATTGTATTTGATCCATAACACTCATATTATTATTTCTGAATGTACATTATCCCATATTGATTTTTATTCAAATGTCTAGTCAGTTCCACACATGTACATAAATGAAGGAAAAAGTTGTTTGAGTAACTTGATATGATTATGAGCGTCAATAGTTTGTGCTCGAAAAGTAGTCATCAGTTAATATAACTGTACAACACTGTGTGTGATTTATCAAAATAAAATCTTATCCATAATGGAGTTATACTCTACCACAGTGGCCAAGTTTTATACTTATATCAACGAACAAATTTAATCTACCTATCACACTAGAATAAGACTGAATCCATTCCTAGCGTATAAATGATAATTTTAATAAGCTATGAATTTCATGCAACAATGCCTAATGCAAGGGATGTTCGCCAGACACGTGTGACGTGTAAGTTGGACTCCTTGGCGGTGCTTTCCTGAACCACGCCTGGCTAGCCAGTAGGTTGTCAGCCGAGAAGTAGAACAAGAAGAAAGTAGGTTAGGTGTAGGGCTAGAAAATTCATCCAGCGAGGAACAACACTTCGGCTAGCATAAGTTCAGAAGCTCGAAACCCAATTTAGCCAACCAGTTAAAATTTAGCGCAGACTCGGAATACACCTTTTTTCATTTTTAGACGACTACAATCAATGCTGTATGGTCAAGAGTGAGTAGAATTAGATCTTTCCCACAAAAGGCATTCATTTATCCACACATTTATCGCCTCTGAAAAGCAAATCCTCCTCAATACCTTCCCGCTGAGGAGGATCTCGTCACAAGTGAGGCGGAAAACCATGACTCCAAAACTGTAGCGGTGTATATGAACTCCAGAATCCTAAGAGAATGACTGACATTGGATGAACCTGTTTTAGACTCTGTAAGTTAACAGGAGTGTAGGTCTCATAGCTCACTGTTCCACTGTCATGTGGATTGCCAGTCAAGTCAAAGGCTTGGAAGCAGGTTTGGTGTTGTCCTCTTGAAACCCAGTGCTTTTATCTGCTCGTCCAGGTAGTATCCGATCGCTGTCACAAAAAATAGAAGGTTTTATGTTGCGTAACTCATCGTGCCTATAATACATCAAATTGGTGTTTTAACACACAGTAAAAAAATGACTTACTTTTTAATGTACTACTCATTTGTAATATAGCTTCAGCTAACAGATCAACATTCGAAGATGAAGTATTTTTTGTTCTTGTCGGAGGATAAAGACTACTCTTATTATAATAATCACGAACATTCGACTCGGAGTTAATATTGAATAAACTTTGACGTTTATATTGACTAGAATAATCCGGATCATTTGTCAACGGTCTACTTCCACCTTGATCACTATAACGTCTCAATTTATTTGATAAAGAACTGAAACCTCTTGAATCTTCAGTATTTACAGTTAATTGATACATTTTACCACCACCCCGACTACTACTACAACTTGCCCTCAAATTATTATTATTTTTATTATTATTACTGTGAGGATTATATGTGATCGGTGAACATGATAAATCCATATTATAGCTTTTATTTTCAGTTGGACTTGTCACCATTAGAATTGGTGGTGATAATTCTTGATGTGTTTCATTTGTCAAAGAAAATGTAGTGATTCCAGCAGACGGTGGATTTGTTGTTCTCGTAACAATCTTTGACTGTTCAACATCCAATTTATCAGGGGAAAGAACATTCACAGTAGGTTTTATCTCTTCCATGGAATAAAAGAGCAATAAATTTGGCCTTTATTATGATATAGTAGTGATCGATATTAGCCGAGAAATAGTCTGATAACTTGATGAGTTTATTTACAGTTCAATATTTCAATATCTTTCCAACATCACCTTGACAACAAATTGAGGCGGGAAGACTATATGTGAGATTGTACTTTCTGAAATTCACCTGAGTCTTTTGTATCCGAGGAATCGCTTTTCTACTAATCCATAAAACTTCCTTGAATTTAAAAAAATTAGTGACTTTCACTGGTAATAGGATAGATTGTAAAATACGACAGTGAACAAAAGGTCATTTGTTTAAATTTTGAGTGAAATGAAAAGCGCGCCTCATTCCAAAAAAGAAACTATGATATCATCAACATACAGATATCACCATCTTAATCATTATTATTATTTGTGTATCAGTAAATTCATCTAAGATCATTTTGGATCAGGACGATTGGAAAAACAAAACAGCAAACTGGGAGAAATCATAATCATCGTTATTAAACCGCCAATCAGATGAGGAGAAATGCAAATCGACCAATCAGATGCGTCCGTCACTATAACGATAAGAGAATCAATTATTTTTTCAAAAGTTCACGCATACACATACACTCATGTGCGCGCGCGCGCTCGCGAAAAGGTTCGAAGTTCACGAATAACTTTGAAAAAAAAATATTTCCCACAGAAAATAAAAGATCGGTTTATTTAAAAAAAATTAATTTTACCCAAAGTGATTTTGAAAAACAGAGATGTTTTCATGAATACAGCTCTGGAGGCAGTTAGGAAGGAAGTGAACATTGATTTGAACTGCAAAAGTAGGACTATGCTGTCGCTTGGTTGATGAAATTAAATTATGTGTTCAGTTAGTGTCTAACCTCCACAGTATTCATATTTCAAAATGAACTATATAAACAAACGAATGAGGTGGCAATGGGATCACCAGTATCCCAAATAGTAGCGGAAATATTTAATAATAATAATGATTTACCTTATTCCAAAAACAGTACTTGTGATACAGAATGGGATTTTCAGCATTAATCACAATATTGCATCTAATTTCCTCAAATTATAAATAAAATTAATCACACAGAAAATTTTTTCACATTTACAATAGGGGTAATGTCAAAAAAAACATGCAGCAGCTAGGATAATGATAATAATACAAGTGGAAATTGCCGTGGGCTTGTTTCACGCAGTATTGTTGATGCGGTATACAAATCCTTGCATGATTAAGAAATATTGAATATAATGTTCTCTTTACATGATATGGGGTGAGGGGAAAAACAAAGATTACAGCAGTCATAGAGATAAGTTGGTGTTTACAGTTATGAAAGTAAAAGCAAAGAAGCAACAGGACCATAAATATGATAGAAATCATAAAAGTAAAACTTGAAGGTATATATGGATGGATGGATGGAGGAGATTGTTTATTTACTAGATGAAAAAAGGTTAGTAAATTCTCGCCTGACGCTATTTTCATCACATAAAATACGTACGTGCCAGGTATGGTATCATAGAATTTTTATACTTAGACGTGTGAGCATACAGTTTTCTGAAGTTGGGAACATAAGGCTCTTAGAACATTTAATCCTGCTCTCCTAGGTTATGGTGAAGATATGTGGATGACACATTCCATCACTGTGCTGGAATCTTAACATATTCCTCAGTTATTCACACGTATAAACTCAGAAGTAGACGGATTCCAATTCACTTCCGAATTAGAAAAGAACAGAGTAAACTGGTTATGCTAGAATGTGGAATAAAACGAAAACAAGATAGTGGGTTAGATGGATACTAGCATTTATAGGAAACCGACACACTCTAATTAATACTTAGACCTTGTTTTTGATTGCAGACTAGTCAGTAACTAGTGTAATGTATCTAGTCCTATCTTTGGTGCAGATTGAATTCTATCAGTCATGTTTGCAATGTGGTCACCATGCTAGGTGGCTCACCATTACGGTGCACTGTGAATTGTTGGTAATAGATGGTTGGAGGCAATCGGCATTAAGCCTTGGCCCTAGGTTTCTTGCTAGTTGGCACTTATCAGCAAGGCGTATCTGCAACCTTGGAGGAACTCATGTCCCACCCCTCTGAGATTCGAACCCGCGTCTTCCAGTGCTGCAGTCAGAGACGTTACCACTGAGCTATTCAGGCTCGCGACTGACCTCCTGTAGGACTGTATTGGATTTTTTGATTGGACACTAGTCAGTAACTAGTGTAATGTGTCTAGTCCTATCTTCGGTGCAGACTGAATTCTAACTAGCACGAAACCTAGGTCCAAGGTTTCCTACCGATTGCCTCCAACCATCTAATACTTAGACCTTAACACATCACACCCAGAATCGGTGGTATAGATAGGTTTAGTTAAATGTCTGTATAATCGGGCCAAGAGCCTAACTAATTAGAAGGCCACGAGATTTAAACGATGAGATCAAACAAATAAGGGAAATATTACCAGTGAATAAATACCCACCAGAATTTATTCAGAAATATACGAAGAACCACAGAAAAAGTAAGACTGACAATAAAAATGACGAAAATAACGAGAATTGTCTAGAATTCAAAGCTTTTGTAGTACTGTCGTATAAAAAGGAACGTCAGAGGCCTTAATTAGGATTCTCAGTGACGCTGGAATTAGGGTGGCATTTAAACCAACCAACTGACTCAGAGACAAAGTTTGTCAGATGAAGCACCCGCTCAATGGATCCAATGTAAAATAGTGACTGTGCGGTCAATTACATGGGTCACACACTAGAACATTGGGGTCATCTAGAATATTGGAACATAAAAATGCAGCTAGACCTAGAATAATTGATCCTGCTAAGTTGAATTACTTAGAAAATAACAGAGCTCAGCCATTGCACTGCATTCACATGCATGTAATCACAGTAAATGATGGGGCAGAATGAGAGTGTCAAAAGTTATTATAGTTAGGCTGGGAGAGAGAGAGGGGGTAAATTTCTGAATCTGTGTTTATCGATTCAACATAGCGGATGTGCAGTGGGAATGATGCAACGCTCATACTGAAGATATGGAAAGTGCTAACAAACAGCAAGTGGAAAATACGGGGAGTAAAAGAGATAATGTATATAACTCAAATTATGAAATCGTGTCACTAAAATTGATATGATTATGAGTAGCAATAATTTATGCTCGAAACCACCTTGTCATCCAGTTGTTAATACTGCATCTGCATCACTGTGTGATATTTGAAATAAAATTATCTAGTGTGGAATTACATTTTACCACCAAGGGTGCTGCCCAAGTTCTACACATACATTAATGTCTTGGTCTCTCGAAGTTGAAAATCTCTATTCATTCATAATAGAAAGAGAAGAGGCGTTTAACGAACAATTCCTCCTTTTCATCAATACCATTTTCAAACTATATTGTTATTTCCTAAGGTTCCGAATGGAATATAGAACTTCTGCGAAACATCTCCATTTCATCCTGTTCTTTGAAGTCCTCTTTAGTTGGTCTGACGACTACTCATAAACTGTCATTTCCTTCAAATATAATCTCTTCCACGTCAACCAGAGATTAATATCCAACTCGATTTGACATCGTCGTCCGTTCTTCCCACGGTTGGTACAATGCTCGCTAGATAAGTGAATGAAGTAACCTCTTTCAAATCTTTCCCGTTGATGATGATTGGCGCTGGATGTTGCTGCTGTTATTGTTGTTGGTTGGTTGCTTCCATAACCTCCGTCTTGTCTATGTTCACCTGGATTCCTGTCTTCTCTGGCTGCTTCTCCGACCAATTTGTCGGTTTTCGCTTGTAAGTCTTCGATTTTGTGTGACATCAAACATAAGTCATCTGCGAAATCAAGGTCTTCTAGGTTCTTCACGTCAGTCCAGGATATCCCTGTCTTGTTGTTTCCCACTGTCTGATGCATGATCCAGTCCACCACAATTAGAAATATCATTGGTGATAATAAGCACCCTTGTCTGACTCCTGTGTTTACTCCAAACGCCTCGCTGAGTTTTCCGTTGTAGATCACTTGACATGTGCCGTTATTGTACAGCTGTTGTATAGGGTTGATGAATATTTGGGGTGAGCCGTAGTACTTGAGTAGTTTCCAAATTACTTCGCGGTCAACGCTGTCGAAGGCCTTCTCAAAATCTATGAAGTTGAGGTAGAGGTTTGATTGCCATTCCATGCTTTGTTCCATGATGATGATGATGCGTAGAGTTGCAATTTGGTCAGAACATGATTTACCTTTCCTGAATCCAGCCTTTTCTGGTCGGTCGTTAGCTATAGAGTCGCAAAATTGTCCAGTTGACGCTATTTTAGGCACACTTAGAAATTTTGTAGGAGCAACGAAGTTACTATGAATCATAAATAGGCTAGACTTTCAGAACATCAGGAAAGCTGAGGATCATACGCCTCGGTGAGTTAGGTTTCCTGGACCCCAATATAAGTAGAATAAACAATGGCACGGTTGAAAAATACATCTACAGAAGAGAAACCTGAATCGTGCAATATCTTCACTATAGCAGCTTCTCTTCTACAAGCTTTAACCATGGAATAGTCAGCAAAATGTAGGACAGAATCAGGAAGCTATATTTGTTCAACAAGATGGAAGTAGAATTAGGCTTTGTTGAGAAGTGGGCCTAAAGGAAAATGGGTATCCAAAGAGATTTATCCAAAATATAGCGAAGAAAAGGACGTAAAACCGAAATCTCAAACTGATAAAATGAAGAAAATATTAATTTGCCTCCGATTCAAAGGGGAAGCAGTATCACAAAAGATTGACAAGAGGATGAAAGGAGCAATAAAAGGATGCCTCCCTGAAGCTAAGCTGGTGACACTATACAGCACTACATGCTCTATAAGCCAATAGAAACAGGATAATTAACCTGCTGATGTTACTTCCAACTGCATTTATAAATTAACGTGCACCTGCTGCAGAAAGTACATTGGAAGGACAGAAAGAAGAGCTTTTATTCGGTTTTCAGAACATATTCCAAGAAAATTATACTTAAAAGGAAGCAGATATTTACAAAGTGCAATTACCAGACACTCACCCTGTGGATACGCATCATTTAGTCGAGATTCCTAAGTCCTTTAAATTTCTAATTTACTATGATTTGTTACTGAAGCAATTGCAATCAAGCGTTTTAGACCAATGTTTTGCACACAGAAAGAGAGTGTAGTCAATCTTTCACTCTCTTGGTAACCGTATTACTCTGATTACACTGATTAGTCATCCATATTAGCGATTTCAGCTCACTAAGCAAGTTTCCAATCTTATGGACTATAACCATCTTGAGTTGCTATATAAAAACCTCAAACTAATGATGTTTATTAGATTTTTCTGTTTTCTGTCTTCTCCCCCCGCTCCCTTCTTTTCTATTTTCAAAGTATATAAATTGACGGTAACTTAACCTGGCAGTTGTACTGGTTATATTTCGGATAGATTAATTAGTAATAT